TATAAAATAGACAATTTGAATAGCCCTATAAGTATTAAGAAAATTGGATTTTTAGTTTTAAATCTCCCAAGAAAGGAATCTCCTGGCCCACATGATTTCCTGGGAGAAGTCTAGTAAAGAATTAACACCTATTGTACATTTTCTCTTCTAGTAAGCAAAAGAGGAAGAAATACTTCTTAATTTATCTTATAAAGCCAATATTATCCTAATAACAACACCAGGCAGGGACAGGATAAAAGAGAAAACTAGAAAAAAAAATCCTTCATAAAAATGCAAAACTCGTCAACAAATATTAGCAAATAGAATTCAGCACTATATAAAAGGAATTATACACCATGACCAGGTGGGGTTTATTCTAGGGGTCAAGAGGGTTCAAAATTCACATATCAGTGTAATTCATAGTAACAGGCTAAAGAAAATTACACAACCATACAGATGCATAAAAAGCTCTGACAACATTGAACACTCATTCCTGATATAAACACTCAGAAAAACAGGACTAGACAGGAACTTCCGCAACCTGATATAAAAAGCATCTACAAACTACCGTACAGGTAATATTATACTTCATGGCGAAACACTGAATGCTTCCCGCCTCAAATGGGAAAAGGCAAGGATGTCTGCTCTAATCACTCCTGTTCAACATAGTACTGGACGCTCTAGCCAGTGCAATAAGGCAAGACAAAAGAAATTTAGAAAGTACAGAAAGAAACCAAGAAAACTGTCTCCATTTCTAGATAACATGAGATTGCATAGAAAATCCCAACAAATCTATGGGGCACCTGGGTGGCTCAGTCAGTTAAGCAGCTAGCTCCTGGTTTTGGCTCAGGTCATGATCTCCTGGTTCACGAGTTCAAGCCCTGCTTCAGGCTCTGCACTCACACTGTACTATGAATGCAGAGCCTGCTTGGGATTCTTTCTCTCCCCCTTTCTCTCTTCCTCTCTCAGCTAATAGACTCTCTTCAAAAATGGAAGTTAAAAAAAAAAAAGGAAATCCCAGCAAATCTAAAAACAAAAACAGAACAAAAATGCACAAACAACTAGAACTTGTAAGGAAGTTCAGCAAGGTCATTGAATACTAAATATAAAAACATTCAAAAATCAATCGTATTTTTTTTGCATACTAGCAATGTACATTAGTGAGTGCTAAATGTAACATATAGTACCGTTTACAACTACTCAAAAAAAGGAATTTTACATGTAAATCTAATAAAACTTGTACAGAACTTGGATGCTAAAAGCCACAAAATGCTAATAAAAGAAATCAAAGATCTAAATAAATGGAGAGACATACTGTGTTCACGGATTTGAAAACTCAACATAGTGAATGCGTCAATTCTGCCCAAGTTGATATGTTTAATGCAATTCTTAACAAAAAGCCCTATATTTTGTAGGTATAGACAAGATTATTCTAAAAATTTTTTAACGTTTATTTATCACTGAGAGACAGAGAAAGACAGAGCTTTAACATGGGAGGGGCAGAGAGAGGGGGAGACACAGACCCCGAAGCAGGCTCCAGGCTCTGAGCCGTCAGCACAGGGCCCGACGCGGGGCTCGAACTCGAACAGACCGTGAGATCATGACCTGAGCTGAAGTCGGACGCTTAACCAACTGAGCCACCCAGGCACCCCTAGACACGATTATTCTAAAATTCTTCTGTAAAGGTAAAGGTACTAAAATAGTTAAAACAATTCTGAAAAAGAATCAAATGAGAAAAATCAATCTGCCTGTTTCAAGACTTGGTGTGGAGCCACAGTGGCCAAGGCTGTGGTATCAGTGGGGGCAGAGACAAACAGATCACTGGAAAGAACGGAGAACTCATCTAATTCCATATTATTGCCCTGCTGAGTTTTGACACAGGTGCGACAGTAACTCAGTAGAGGAAGGATGGCTTTTTCGGCAAGTGGTGCTGGAGTCACTGGGCACCCATAGACAAAAACCAAATGAAGCTTACACCCTATATGAAAATTAACTCAAAATGGATGATGGACTTAATTATAAAATGTAAAACCATACAATTTAGAAAAAAAAACCCTAAGAGAAAATCTTTGGGACATGGGGCTAGGCAAAGAATCTTTAGATATGGCATGACACGATAAAAGAAAACAAGTTGATAATCGGACTTTAACACAGTAAAATCCTTCTGCTATACAGGCTGGGAGAAAATATTTGGAAGCCATATAGCCTACAAGAGATTATTATCTAGCTTATACGAGGAACTCTCTAAACTCGATATTAAAATAACAAGCAATCCAAGTAGAAAACGGACAAAAGAATGGACATTTCACCAAAGACGATACACAAAGAGCAAACAAGCACATGAGAAAATGTTCTATACAGCTATTCCTTAGGAAAACGCACACTGAGCCGCTCTGGGAAACAGTGTGGAGTGGAGGTTCCTCAAAAAATTAAAAATAAAGCTACCCTATGACCAAGCCATAGTCCTGCTAGGAATTGATCCAGGGGACACAGGAGTGCTGATGCATAGGGGCACTTGTACCCCAATGTTTATAGCCACACTTTCAACAATAGCCAAATTATGGAAAGAGCCTAAATGTCCATCAACTGACGAATGGATAAAGAAGATGTGGTTTATATACACAATGGAATACTACTTGGCAGTGAGAAAGAATGAGATCATGCCATTTGTAGCAACATGGATGCAACTGGAAGGTATCATGCTGAGTGAAATATGTCAGTCAGAGAAAAGACAGACAGGACAGATACCATATGTTTTCACTCATATGTGGATCCTGAGAAACTTAATGGAAAACCATGGGGGAGGGGAAAGGGAAAAAAAAGTTACAGAGAGGGAGGGAGGCAAACCATAAGAGACCCTTGGATACTGAGAACAAACTGAGGGTAGATGGAGGGTAGGGGAGAGGGGAAAGTGGGTGATGGGCATTGAGGAGGGCACTTGTTGGGATGAGCACTGGGTGCTGTATGGAAACCAATTTGACAACAAAAATAAAAAAAAAAAAAAAAGGAAAATACACATTGAGACCATACACCTATCAGTACAGACAGAAAAGAAATAGTGAAAGCACAAAATGCTGGAGAGGATGTGGAGAAATCTCTCATACACTGCCTACGAGAACGTAAGATGGCACGGCCACTCTGGAAAACAGTCCGGCAGTTTCATCAAAAAATAAACATACACTGGCTATGTGACCCCGCAATTGTACTCCCGGGCATTTGTCCCAGAAAAATTAAAGCTTATGGTCATGCAAGAACCTGTACACAATTGCTTGTAGCAGTCTTCCTTGTAGTAGCCCCAACTGGAAACCACCAAAACGTCCCCCCCAAAAGTACACAGTAAAACAAACTGGGGCATGCCTGTACCACGGAATACTACTCAGCATTCCAAAGGAACAAGTTGTTGACACAACGATGTGGATGGGTCTCAAGGGCATTATACTGGGTAAAACAGCAACTACCAGCTTCACATAATGAACGATTCCATTTATGTTACGTTCTCAAAATGCTAAGAATTACAGAGGTGGAGAACAGGCTAGTGACTGCCAGGGGTTCAAGATGGTGAAGGGGGTGCGGGGTGTGTGGGACCCAAAGAGGTAGCACGAACGAAGGAGACCCCCGGGTGATGCACAATTCTCCATCTGGACTGTGGTGATGGCCACACAATCCACATGTGTGATTTTGTATGGTTGGTTTTAATAATATACTATTGGTTATGTAAGATGTCACCACAGCGGGGGCGACTGGGTGGCTCGGTCGGTTAAGCGTCTGACTTCGGCTCAGGTCGTGATCTCGTGGTCCGTGAGTTCGAGCCCTGCGTCGGGCTCTGTGCTGACTGCTCAGAGCCTAGAGCCTGTTTCAGATTCTGTGTCTCCCGCTCTCTCTGCCCCTCCCCTGTTCATGCTCTGTCTCTCTCTGTCTCAAAAATAAATAAACGTTAAAAAAATTAAAAAAAAAAAAAAGATGTCACCACAGTGGGCGGTGGGGGGAGGGAACTGGATAAAAGATGCCTAGGACCTCTCTGTAGTATCTTTGCAGCTTTCTATGAATTTATAACTATTCCTGAAAAAACATTTTTTTTTTTTTAAAGTTACTAAAGGTTAGGATACAAGCTATCTGAGATCAGGGAACTTACTGATTCTCGGGTATTTTATCTTTAGCACCTAAACAGTGACTCACTCATAGTAGGCTCTCAATTAATATTTGGGAACTAGATGAACACTTCTGTTAAAGAGTCCATTTTTGTTGTCCAAGGAACATGATTATAAATGGTGAACCTCTGGAAACATAAAGACTACATGGTAAATGATGGCTCTTTCTAGAGATGCGACAGAGATGGGAAGAGAAGTTGGAAAGAGGTGAGAAAACAGAGATCTTATAAACAATGCAGAAACACAGACTAAAGGGCTACATTTTTCGTTCCTTTCTACCTCCATCATTCCAAAAGAGGTTCTTCCTCATCTTAATGATTTTTTTAAAGGTTTGAATGTTGATTTATTTTTGAGAGACAGAGAGAGAGGGAAGACGGAGCAGGGGAGGGGCAGAGAGAGAGGGAGACACAGAATCGGAAGCAGGCTCCAGGCTCTGGGCTGTCAGCAGAGAGCCCGACGCAGGGCTCATATCCATGAACCGCTGAGATCATGACTTGAGCTGAAGTCGAACGCTCAACCGACTGAGCCACCCAGGCGCCCCTCATCTTAATGATTTCTCAAAACTAGAATACATGCGTGATGTAAAAACAAGCAAATATACACATAGATGAGGGAATCTCCCCGATGTCTTGCCTCTGCTGTACTGAAAGACGGTGAGTGGAGGAAGCCTGTGGTGTACCCAGCGGTGAGGGGTTTAGGGGGGCAACCCACCCACCGTGTGCCACGGCATGTTCCAGGTTGTCTCTGAACAGATACGCCGACCAACCACAGGGTAGAAATGCATGTTACATAGGAAATAAGTCCAGGTGGCTTTCAAGATTCTGAAATTCTTAAAATACCTTATAAAAATCATATTATGTAAGTAGTACCTACCTACTTGAGAATCCTTCTTTTCCCAACTTCTGTTGCCTTTCTGTAGTGAAGCACCGCACAAGACACTTTTTAACCATCGTCTTCAACGACTGTGGTGTCTCAACTAATTAACTGCCCTCTGCAGGTGGTGCTGTAAACGCCCCTGTCCATCACAGGGAAGACGCACTGAAAAATGATCCATTTTCTGAATTTCTCTTTTAACTTCCGATCTTCTGCTGGATCATGGCTTGAATGTGCCTATTTTAGTGCAGACATTGTACCCGTGTGCAAAAAGACCACAGCAGACAGTGAAAGTTTCATTAGTAACACTTTAGTTTTACATTACATCATACAGCGCTGTAGGCTTTTCAGAGCGCCTCTACCTGTATCTTTTTAAAAGCACATAATAGCCCTGCGAGGTACGGAGTATAAAAACAATCTCAAGGAATGAAATATCATACCTAAGATTTCATGTTTAGACAGGAGATGAGTCAGAAACTGAACCAGAGATTTTTGCCTCCCATTATACCCTGCTTTTATGTGTTCTAGAAGGCATGCTATTTGTTACAGTCTTATAAAAACAATGCCTATTTGCAATGATGGCTGTTTCTCTTTGTTCTTCCTGCTTAACATAATACCTCAACTCTACATGTGTTCTCCCTAAATGCAAATTTAAAACATTGGCAGATATTTATTAAAGCCCAGCTATAATTTAGAGACCCAACATTCTAGTTGTGGAAGAGCTGAGCTGATTTTCTAAAAAAATTCTGCTGGGAGAATTGAATAAAGGAATCTTCCGCCCCCAAAGTCATCCTTAATTAAAAGAACAAAACTTACGGGGCACCTGGGTGACTTAGTTGGTTAAGCCTTCAACTTTAGGTTAGGTCATGATCTCATGGCTCATGCATTCGAGCCCTGCGTCGGGCTCTGTGCTGACAGGTCAGAGCCCGGAGCCTGCTTCGGATTCTGTGTCTCCCTCTCTCTCTCTCTCTCTCAAAAATAAACATTAAACAAAAATTTTTTTTAAAAAAGAACAGAAGTTATAATCTTTTACAAAGCAAAGCCAAAGCACATCCTTGCTTTCATTAAAAAAAAAAAAATCAGAAGTACAGCAAAATAACCACAGTGGAATTGTGAAGTCTTTGTTACTACTGTTAAAAGCCAGATTTACGAAGTTGGAAGGGTATAAGGTCACGTACTGCTTAAAGCTTTAAGCCATCTTCTTGGTGAGAAGCGAGACCATCAAAGGTTGTGCCGGCGTGCTGAGGGGAAATGGAGCTGCAAAATGAAATGTGTCAAAAAAAAAAAAAAAAAAAAAAGGGAAAAGTGTGGAAAACCTGGAGAGTCTACTAAGTAAGTGGGGACTAGGATTCAGGCAGGTATTGTTACGAATGCTTTCTTGGGGAGCGCTCTGACATCAGTGGTTTTCAAACTATGCTGCACAGAGATTCACATGCACTGTTTAGGGAAAAGCCCCGATCAATGCCTGTGTCTCTCCCCAGATACTCAACCAGTGTGGGGCCGGTCTGGGGAGAGGGTTTCGAAAAGCTCCCCCACCCAGGTAATTCTCACGGGCACCGAGGTCTGAGCCCTCCGTGAGGGAGAGATCTTAAAGATCATCCCCGTGGGTGGTGACTGTGGGGAGAGAGGCCATGGGAGCCCGAGGGCCAGCCATCCCAAGACGAGGAGACGGGGAGACACGGACGTGTTGGGCAGCCCTGCGGGGTGCCCCACGCACCGGTCATGCCCCCGGGCTTCGGCCGGCCCCTGGGTTCTAACTCAGCGGGCCCGAGGCAAAGGGAAAAGCAGGAGGTACCCTCTGTGTCTCGAGGGAGCCAACCCTGATAAAAATGGGATCCTTATGGTCTCTTTTTAATTTTCTGACGACCCCTTTCATTTTCTTTATCAAGAAAAAAAGAAAGAAAGTGAGAGTTGACAAGGGTTAGCGACTCCTCATTTCCCAATCTGGATCTGGGGAAATCAGCCTCATAGTTAATCGGCCAAGAATTACATTTTCCCGTGTTGACCTGGCGAGAACATCTCCAACATCACGGCACAGATACCTTTCTTTTAAACACCAAATGATTTTTTAGGGGCGCCTGGGTGGCTCAGTCAGTTAAGCGCCCGAATTCGGCTCGGGTCATGATCTCACGGTTCATTGTGAGTTTGAGCCCCTCATCGGGCTCTGTGATGACAGCTCGGAGCCTGGAGCCTCCTTCGGATTCTGTGTCTCCTCTCTCTGGTCCTCCCCCTTTCGCACACACACTCTGTCTCTCCAAAATAAATAAAAAAGGATTTACAAGAATAAAAGCCAACTGATATTAAAAAAAAATTATGTTGAGAGAGAGTGCATGCAAGTGGGGGAGGGGCAGAGAGAGACTCCCAAGCAGGCTCCACGCTCAGTGCAGAGACCGACGTGGACCTCATGACGGAGACATCATGACCTGAGCCAGACATTTCACCCACTGGGCCAGCCAGGTGCCCCCCAAAACCAAGCGAATTTGATTAAGGGCAGAAACCAACCCTTTCTTCTGTTACCACACGGTAAGTGAGTTCGGACACTTTTGGTCAAAGAAACAAAAAAAGCTACACACCCCGGAAACTATATGAGGTGTGGTTTGCTGAAGAGAGCAGACAGAAAGGGAAGACACGTGGATGAAGGCAGTCAAAGCACCGAGCTATCCACGAAAGGCTGCTGGACAAAGTCGCCTCGGGGGCAGACAACCTTCAAACTTTTTAGGTCTCGTCCAAGGGGAGCGGACGAAGGTCAAGGAGAGACAGAGGCACAAGCCTGGGAGTCACCTGAGACTGGCACCACCCGCCTCCATCACCTAAGAGGGAGAAATTAAGCTGTTGATGAGGACCTTCGATATAAAGGCAGAAATCTCTCTCCTGCTTTTCTCCTTCCTGTCTTCTCTGGGAGTCATTAAGAAATAGACCATTAGAGGGACACCCGGGTGGCTCCTGGTTTTGGCTAGGGTCATGAAGCCACGGTTCGTGGGTCGGTATTCATTGCGTATTAATCCCCTCAAAATTGGTCTTTGCAGGGAAACTTTGCTTTTTAAAAAATCAGTATGTGTTGAATAAAGGCAGTTGGTCTGGGCGTTGCTGAGGGGCCAGCACCTCCAGAGAGGCAAAGCCGTGGGCCTCCCGCTCCTCTCTGTGTGGGCTCCCAGCCCCCGTCCCTGCCACTCGGTGAAATGCATTTTCTGCCTCTCCCGGCTAATAGACTCTCTTCAAAAATGGAAGTTAATCCTTGGGCAACGCAATGTTAAACCGCCCGAGGAAGAATTAAATATTTCAGAAGAGAACATGGTAAAAAATGGCAACTGCTATTTTAGATTCTTTGAAAATTTAAGTAGGAGAGCAAAAAATAGAAAGCAGCTTGTACTTGGTACAATGGATCTAAGTTCACTTTTGTGAGATTCTCAAGAACGTGCAGGCAGACAGAGACACCGCAAAATGCTGGGACACGGAGGGGACCGGGCCGCTCCGGTCAGAATTTCAGAGGCCCCGAGACTGCTTCAATCGCTCAGGAGTGACAAGCACGTGCGGCTTAAAAAAAGAAAACTGACCCATTTCCCTTGTCCTCGCCGGAAGGTGGAGGCAAGTAAAACGTGCCCGCTTGAGAGGAGCAGGCTCTGGAGTTGGACAGCTTGGGGGGCGGGGGGGGGGGGCCCGGGCCCCCCCGGGGGGCCCCCCCCCCCCCCGGCCTGGAACAGTGCTTGGCCTCCTCTGAGAAGAGCCCAGAGAGCCTGTGGGCCGGGCAGGTGTGAGTCCCGCTTGAGTGCTGAGCAGTCAATACGGGCCGGATTATGATGACACACAATCGCGAAGCAGACCGAGGCTGGGTCCATTTTTACCGCAGAAGTACAAAGAGAAAGCACTCTTTCCTCCGCAGACCCAGGCAAACCAGGTAATTGTAAAAATGCTGCAATCATTTTTCTACCCTGCGCTTTTACAATCCAATTTATTGCCCTGCTCCTCACAGCTGCTTTCCAGAGCCCGCACACTGCGGTTAGAACATATTAGCCGGAGTCAGAATAGCAGGTTCAAGCATTTATGTATTTATTGCGTGCCTCAAAGAGGCACAAGTGATGTGACTTCAATTGTTTTAATTTGCTATGCCTCGTCTCCCTCTGCCTACTCGTGTAGGCAGCCAGCAGGGAGGGAATGGGCTCTTCTTCTGCCCCGAACGTGCCACCCAGGCAGGGGCCTGGGTGGGTCCCAAAGGCACCCCCACCGCCAACACCACGCACGGTGTGGGCTCCGAGCCTGATCCAGCCTGAAGACACCCCAATCTTGCCTGCTGAGGGCCAGCTCTCAGGGCTTCCAACCTCTGCTCTTGTGACCAGTTTTGATTCCCCATGATGGGGCGGGGGGCAACTACCATGAGGACTTCCTGTGCTTTCTCTCCTTATTTTGCCTGAGCCAGTCCCTTAGCCCCTCTGGGCCTCAGTTTCTCCATCTGTGAAACGGGGATGAGGAAAGCTGCTTCCACAGGTGGGGGGCAGACTAAATCAGGTAATAAAGTGCTGGGTGGTTTACGAAATGTTGGCTCTGTTACTACAGAATTAAGATGTCTGCTTCTCCCCAAGCCCACGTGGAACACAGCTCCAGGCCCCCAAACGCCCCAGCCCGACCTTGTTCAAAGTCCTAAAGGGGCCTCCCTGCCTCCCACCTGCAATACCCCTCCCCCGAAGTCTTTGCCCAGTCTGAGTCCTACTGCTCATTTCCATCTTGTCTCCAATGCCACCCTTTCCGTGAGGCCTCTCCACATGTCTGCTGGCCAGCTCTCCTCCCTTCCTGGACCTTCCATCGCGTGTTATAAAGCCACAGGCGTGTGTTATGGATCGACACGCGTCGTCAGTGCCGCTGCCCTTCAGGCCCTAGGCACGGGCTGCATCTTACTTGGTCCTCTCCACCCTGTCCACGGCTTGCACCTAGCTTTAGCTAACTGTCAGTCTGCTCACTTGAACTAAACAACCCAGCTTTCCGTGATCCTGACTCAGGGTCTCGCAGTTTTATGTATCAGGTTCCCAACTCGATCAGACCTAAATGAGTGTCCTAGATGCAGAGGCGCCCAGAATCTGAGACAAGCTGTGCTGCTGAGGGCACCAGGGAAGGGGGCCCCAGCGTTCCTGAAAAGCCTCGTGGTGGCCTGGGACAGGAATGGCACTTTTCATTGAAGGAATGCTTCTAGACAAAACCCCTGGATATGGGTGTCGTGAAACACACAGTGGAAGGCACACAATAGCACGTTGACATCGTTACTCTGCATTGTTCTTTTCTCTTTTTTTTACATTTATTCTTTTTTGAGAGACAGAGATTCAATTTTGAGAGGGCAAGCAGAGGAGGGGCAGAGAGACAGAGGGAGACACAGAATCCGAAGCAGCAGGCCCTGAGCTGTCAGCACAGAGCCCAACGCGGGGCTCGAACTCACGGACCGCGAGATCACAACCTGAGCTAAAATCAGGCGCCCCAAAATGTGCAATGTTCTAATTAAGGGACTGGTGGAATTTGGGTCCTCTGAACTTCTCCTGAGCATCTCTGGTTAGGGTGGAAATAGCCCAAGCTGGCTCACGCACTAGACAGCCGTTAGGAACGTGGGTGCTGCGGCTGGACAGGCCTAATCCCACCATTCCCATCTGGGTGCCCCTCATCAAACGTAACTGATCCGTGTATGTCCCAGCCTCTTTCTCGCTGAAAGACGTGGGCAGGGTGACAAGGGGACCATACTCCCACCTCAGAGGCCTCTGGCACGGCGACGAGCTACGCGGATCTTGGTGCAGTCCCCGGCATACAGTAAGTGCTCAGTAATGCTTTTGCTGGAATGCTGCCATAGATGCATCTGGACCTGAGGTGAGGGTGCGATTCCACTTGGAGTAAATTAAGTCCCCGCAATCTATCGCGAGCCAGAGATTATGGGTGAACCTGTCTCGCTTGGTGAGCTTGAGTGGAAAGAAAACAATCCAGAAAGAGAAAAGAAAGTGACCAGACCCAGGTATATCTACACCACGCATGCTGGCAGATGTGGCACTCGGATTTTTTAAAAAGCAAGTTTAAGAAGAATGGGGTGGGGGTGGGTTGGATTAAGTTGAATGGGTTTTTCCACCTCATTGGCTTTAACTTTCAAAATAAACTGTCTTGTGACAATAACTACATCCCTAGCTCTCAGCTCGTCACCCAAAGGTAAGAACGACATAATAACAGGTAACAGGGAAAGGTGGGTCCCAGCTGAGGACCCTTGGGAGTGGAGAAGCCAAGATACTGCTTGCTCTCGTATGGCTTACTCTTAGCCAGGGAGGGCCCTGAGAGGGGGGTCCAAGAAACCACCATCCCCAAAGCCCTGTGCTTTTCAAATCCAGAAGCACTCTAACAGCCCTCTTCAGGTGATGAGGAAAAGGGACACTGGGGACCTGCCTTTTCTGAAATGTACTGGTGCAGTCAGAGGGGCGGGGCGGGGGGGGGGGCCAGCCTTGCAGCCAGCAGCATCAAGGAGGCTTTTATTTTATTATTTTTTTTATATATGAAATTTATTGTCAAATTGGTTTCCATACAACACCCAGTGCTCATCCCAATCACGGAGGCTTTTAAAGGGGCTCATGAACTATCTGCCTTCATCCAGGACTCAAATTTCCCCAAGAAACGGAAGGAAACCACTTTTAGTGTGTACAGGGGGGCAGAGAGAAGGGAGTAGTAGTGAAAACCATCTAGCACAGGAATTAGAAAACCCACTTCAAGAAGATCCGAAAGCCACGGGGCTAATCTATTTATGGTACACTGATCCCAACAGTTAATCTACAATGTGCAAGAGAGGTTTTGCCTCCAGAAGTGTCTGCTTTTAAGCAGCCATTGGGCTTACGCTAAACCCAGTGGCTGGTACACTGTGGGCACCAGCAGAGAATGTCTCCTGAAGATGTGTTCAGAAGGGCGGCGGAGGGTGACGTGCTGGGGTAGAAGTGAGCTCACTGCTTTGGGCCGCATTCCTTTTTCTTTTTTCTTTTCTTCTGCTGCAGCTGTTGCTTTTTCTCCCCCTCTAATCACTAGAAAAGGCCTCCCTGGGCCTCACTGTCCACACTGGGCCCAGAGACCAACAGCACTTGGCTGCAGACCCTCGGGCCCACTGCGCACCTGCTGGCTTAGAACCTGCATTGAACGGGGTGAGGGAACTCTAGGGCGAACTTTACTAACATGAAGGTTCTGGTGACTTGAAGAGGAAGGGGAAAGGTGGACTCCTACAAGGCTACTTGTTTAAGAACATTAGTCTCAAGCACCAGTTAGGGAAAAACATTTTCCAGGGAAAAAAAAATTAAGGGAAGGTACCGTTTGGAAATTCTGGTTTCTGCTAATTTCATAAAAGCAAATCACAGGCTAGAAAAGGCTCACCAATCGCTGGGAGCTCACTCTGTATTCATCGTCATTACTCAGCCTACATGGGTTACTAAGATGATACTTCTTTTTTTATTATTATGCTTTTTTCTGGAGGGAAGAGTGACCAGAGATGTATACCTGTCAAACCCACTACTGGAGTCAAACCCACTCCTTCCCCCCTCGGTTCCTCCCCAGTAATGTTCCATGTCCTTCCGGATGTGGGCACGTGCAGCTGGGCTCCCAGCCAACTATCACCTGCTCAGGCTGCCCAGTGCCCGTCTCCGTCAATCTGCCGCTGTGCCTGCATCATTTCTGGTCTCCCTCACCCTGCAGCTTGGCTGTGAATGTACTATGTCCTTTTCTTGCCCCTTCAGACCCCCTCTTCTCCCTTTGTTGCCCAGCTCCGGGACTGGGGAGATTGACACACGGTAGGGACTTCACCAATGGTTCCCAGCTCTCCGGGTGGGGAGGTGAGTGAGGCTGGCACACTGTTTTGGGCTCACCTTCTGCCAGCTCCCTCCTCGAGTCCCCACAGGCCGGCCACCAGTCCAGGGACTGCCACCAGTCCAGGGACTGCATCTCTCTGGTTCCCCCACCCCCTGCCCATTTCTGTGCACCACCACTTAAGCTAAACTCTCCTCAGTGACCCAACCTGAGTGTGCCATCTGTCCCCTCCTGGGCCCTGACCACTGACACACAGGTCTGCTACTCCCCACACCTTACGTTCCTGAACATCCCCACAGCTTTGTAAAAGATAAACCCAGTGGTGGTTTCGTCCCCCTTTGGCCTCTCTCTATTGCATCTGATAGTTCCCCAAACACATCACATTCAGAATATCTGAAATAACTCCTTTTTCTCCCCAAATCTGCTCCCCCACCCTCTTCCAGGGGCGTCACCACCTGCCCCACACAGACTTCCACCCTGCCACCACCTCCCCTCCAGGGGGAGGGATGGCCTCCCACATTGCACCCGCCCATGCCCCAGCATACGGTTTGGTGCCTCACCACCTTTGCAGCCGGAGGACAGCCTGCATGCAGCCTCCCGTCACCTGTGGAAATCAATCCTCCGGCAGGACTCCAGTGCAATGCACATCGCCGCCCAGCCACCACACCCCTGCTCTTGTTCACGGCTCCCATGGTGAGGATCTGTCCCCATCCCGGGCATCTTCTAGAGTTCAGATCTGGCTCAGGAAACCCTAAGGGGCTCTCTCTTTCTCTCATTTCCTACGGTCCCTTATTTTCTGTCCCATTTATCATTAAACAATCAGTCACGTCCTACTTCTGGTTGCCCTGATCTGCTACGAAAGACACACGTTTAACTCTTCACCTGCACCTACCTGCCCCAACCAGACCTAAGTGCTCCGGAGCTGTGACTACTTGCATATCTCGACACCTCTGTCAGCATCTAGCAAAGCGTGATACAAATAGAAGGTGCCAGAAAAGCAGAATGTGACCCTCCAGTTTACGGTAGGGGACGTATGAATAAAAGAATAAACAGAAATAAAAGCTAAAGGCCATTTTGGGTTCTCCGAGTGCCCTGTGAACCAGAGAAGGTGCAGGGACAGTCACCCCAATCACTTGTGCTCCAAGCTGCCTAAAACGAGGTTCCCAATTTCTGGTTTCCAGAAATTGGTTGCTATGTAAGTCTGGTCTCATTACAACCAATGTGTCGCAAATTCTATTGTAATACATATTATGGCTTACAGATGTTCTTCTCCAAAGATGCTGAAGTGTTGCTGCATCCTGACCCTCACGTGAGACCCCCCTGTGCCTGCTAACCTCACCCCTGCTCAGGTACAAGCCACCACTCCTTACCGTGACCCCGTCTAATCCACGCTCCCTACAGCAGCAAGAGAATGAAAAAATGAGCAAAGCCGATCATGTCATTCTCTATCACCCTGACTTCCAGTTCCCCAAGGCCATCCCTGCCTGCTGTCCCTGCTGCCCCTCCCTCCACCCCTGCTCAGCCCCCCTCCACCTGGCAGCCTCCTTAACCCATCCTCCAGGTTTGTGCCGAAATGTCACTTAACACCTGTTCACTCTCCCTCCTGCCCATACGACATAAACTCAGAGGCAGCGAGTCTGGTCTGATGCCCTCCGCGTCTGGTAGACCCTGTGCATAGTAGGCCATCAAGATGTCAGTTTCACTTTCTGCAAGAGAAAGCCACAACAGAGCGGGATCCGAGATGCTACTTATTCCAAAGAGTTACTCCCTGACGTGCCCCAAAGTGTCATTCTCGTCTCAGACTCATCAGGGCTATCATACCCAGAGAAACTCACTCTGTCCCTGCTGTGGAGTCCTTGGTTGGTGAGGAGGTGACAGGCCGAGTGAGGGTCCCCCGTGCCTGGGGCAGATGCATCTCAGTCTCTCCACTGGCCTCTTCGGAGATAGCGAACCGCCGAGTGATTTTGGAGAAGTTACTCAGATGTTGGCCCCTGGTTTCCCTCTTTGTTACTGTAGTAAAATCTACATAATGTGAAATTTACTGTTTTAATCATTTTTCAGCGCATAGTTCTGTGGCATTAAGTACATTCACACTGCAGGGCCACCAGCACCTACCTCCAGAACGTTTTCACCTTCCCAAAGTATAAAACTACCCATTCAGCTCTAACTTCCCCTGTGGTAGCCCCCGGAGCCACACAGAGAGGGTCTGTTTTGGTGATCTTGGCTCCTCTAGGGATCGAATATGAGAGGAATCATACAGCTCCTGTCTTTTTGTGCCTGGCTTATGTCCCTTAGCATGTTACCCTCACCGTTCACATGTGTTGCAGCCTGTATCCGATCTTCCTTCCTTTTTTAAGGCTGAACAGTAAAGTTCCATTGTATGCACAGACCACATTTTGTTTCTTCGTCCATCTTTGCACCTGTCCATGGGCACTCGCTTCCACCTTTTAGTCTTCCTTCCAGTAAATCACTGTAATCACTTCCAGTAAATCCAGTACAATCACTACTTTCAACCCGCCAGAAACGATAAAGCAAACAACCCTCCCCCAGTCGACTGCAGCAGGTAGGTCCCGCCAGTGCCCTGCCCACAGTCCCCTGGGACCTGCTGGGGCCACCCAGGGTTTCCTGCCCCAAGCTTGGAATCTTTCTGCCTGAAGGTGCAGAGGAAAGGCTGGAAGTGCTGGCACATGAAAGCCCCGGGAGCACCCTGCAGCCCGTGACCATGAGACTGGGGGTGAATGTCTCGCTCAGCTTCCTCACCCCTTGGTGGCTGCAGCCACCTACTCTGGAATGAATATGCCTGCTGTCCTGGTCCCTCCCCTCCCCTGTCTCCCCTCCCCTCTCCCCTGCTGTCCTGGCTCCCTTCCTTCCCCTGTCCCCCCTCTCCTCTCCCCTGCTGTCCTAGTTTCCTCCCCTCCCCTGTCTCCCCTCCCCTCTCCCCTGCTGTCCTGGCTCCCTTCCCTCCCACATCTCCCCTCTCCTCTCCCCTGCTGTCCTGGCTCCCTTCCCTCCCCTGTC